GGTTAGGAGGTTTGAGGTAGGATATCTACGGAAAATACCCCATGCTTTTTTCTGTTTTTTCAGTGCTTCATGACAGTCGCGATTCCACCACGGTTTCGAATCGAATTTAGTATTTTTCCTGATGTTCTAGGAATCGAAAGCATAGCTGCCTGAATAATAGTATTAGTAACAGCTTTCCTCAGCGTCATCGATATGCACATCTTCTACCATTTTCCTCTGTGAGCTCTGCGGAGGAAGAGAAAGAGTTTCCCAGTCTGCCCTGTCCAGTATAAACCGAGGGAGTCTCGACATGGGGTTTGCTCCTCTTCTTGCAAGAGATACAAAAATGGCGATAATGATCGCTGTTGTACATGGTCATTTCCGACACTAAAAGTGCAAAATGGCAACAGAGACGGTGAACAGATGGCAATGTCGAGAGCATGGAATGTCCTTGAAGGCTCATGGAAGTAAGTATCCTGCCCATTATTCAGGAGACAAAGGCTATGATCTTCGATCATCTGCTCAATTTGTCTTCCTCGGCAATTTGTATCTTTACTACCCCAGAGAGGACTATGGCCGTTAAAATCTCCTATTATGATGAAAGGCTCAGGCAGCTGCTCTAGTAGACCATTTAAATCTTGCTGAACAATATGCTCATTTGGAGGCAAATACAGAGAAACGACTGTAACAACAATATCAAAATTTGTTTGAGTAGCGACAACTTGGAGGGATGTCGTCAAAGAAAGCACATTTGAGGGATAATCCAGTGAGGTGAGGTGACCTACACCTCCACTGGCACGCTCACCTGCAGGGTTATCTTTCCTGACGAAGGAAAATTTCCGAAGTTTTGCCTGTTGTTCTGGCTTTAGATTTGTTTCCTGTACTGCGAAGCATACAGGATGATAAGCATTAACTATGGCTTTGATGTCGAGCAAATTTCGGTGGAAACCGCGACAGTTCCATGAGACGAGGGTGGCCATTATGTCTGGTTTTTGTTCTTTCTGTGCTTTGTTTGGTTTTTTCGTGGAAGTAGATGCCTGGGAAATTCTAGACCCTCCTCTACTTCCATAGTGTCTGAATCCGCAGATTCAGTTCGGGAAATCATTCGTCAAAGAGCTTGCTTTGAACTTCTATTTTTATTTGATACATTTTTAGTGGCAGTTTTTGGGTTTACTTTGAATGACTGTTTCTTTATTTTGTATTAAATGTGTTGACTTTTCTGTTTTCTTGGTGGATGTAGTCGGTTGGGTTTTATTTGGTTAGTCTGCGTGCCTATTGATGTTTGGGTGGCAATGCTACGTGTTGTTTTTAACTGCACTGGCATATGATTTGTTTGATTGGAGCTGTGTGCTTTTGAACTAGTTTTCTGGCTTCAGCATACGAGATGTTCCTGGTAACTTTAAGAGTCTGTACTTCTTTTTCGGATTTCCATTTTGGGCACAGGCGTGAAAATGCTGGGTGCTGACCCTTGCAATTTATACACGAAGGCGCAGCGGTACAATTTTCGGAATCGTGGCCAATCTGTGAGCATCGGGCGCATGTGAGGCTGCCACGACAAGTCATCTTAGAATGGCCGAAACGCTGGCACTGGAAACATCGCATAGGGTTAGGAATATAAGGTCTTACAGGAAGATTTTGATATCCGGCCTTAATATTCTTAGGCAGATCAGGCGTGTTGAAGGTAAGGATGACGTGTTTTGTATCGATCAACTTACCTTCCTTTCGCATCTTGATCCGCCTAGCACCTTAGACATTTTGGTCAGCTAACTCAGAGACGAACTCTTCTTCTGAAACACACAGAAGGTCGATCTCCGAGATCACACCTCTACAAAAATTAAGTGTTTTGTGCGCTGACACAGTTATAGATATTTCTCCAAATTTGGTTTGTCCGGAAAGAGAAGCAGACTGGGTGGCCGACATGGTATCAATAAGCAGGTCTCCTGACCGGAGACGCTTTATGTTCCTTGGCTCACCTATACATGAATGTATATATTTGTTTACCAGAAAAGGAGACATCTTTTGCAGTTCACCAGAAGGACTAGAGATAACAAGGAAGCGCGGACAATCAGTAGACTCTTTGGTATTTGCATCGGTTCGGATCTTCTTGGTACTGGATTTGTCAATGATTTCAGTACTTTTGTCATTTTCATCGGTACGGGTCTTCTTGTTAATTGATTTATCAACAATTTCAATATCTTGGTTGGTGTCTTTTGAGTCAGGTTTTTTTAGAATAAATAGAGAAGCCATAATTGAAAGAGAAAAAATTCGGGTCCGACGGCCCCGCCCACCACGGAGCCCAACAAGGGAACACAGATTCCTGTGTTAGGGCTAGCCGGCTCTATACGCAAACTGAAGCCCCACAGTCGGCTTTCCCGAAAGCAGGTACTCCCGAGAGCTTGACCCCAAGCCACTGACACAAGGACTAGTGACCAGCCGATTGACACCCGTGAGGACGACTAAGGTGCCTCCCGTTAGCTGAAGCAGAGGCCAAAGCAGTGTGTTGGGGACAGTACCTCGCCCCTCAACTACCAGGACCCTCCTTTCCAGCGACACGGGTCTCCACGCACGGCAAACACGTGGGCATTTTTTCTCGCCACTCGAAAACTAGATGCAAGGGATGCTCCAGTCTCTCTCGTGACGAGCCCCCAAACTCCGTAGAGAGAAAACCACGAGGGAGAAGAGAAGGGAAAAAGTTCCAGCAAGAGGAGAGGAGACGGAAAAGAGGATAGATCACTGGGGCTCCAGGATCGTGACACCCGTCTCACCAAGAAGATGATCCCCTGAAGGGCTAGGGTACCTCGGGATTGCCACACCCGTACTCACAAAAGTGAGCCCCGTGAGGGTGATGCGCACTTAAGAACGTAATAAAGAGTTTTGGAATATGTATTGTTGAAATGAAGGGTAAAATAAAATCTGATAAGTATAATTAAAAGAATTATTCCCTTTACATTTTATAATAACTCAGTTACAAGTTTTAAATAATACTACTCCCTTTCAGAAATGTTCAGAGAAAGTCAAATACTATTTAATACTTATTTAATTATTAGGAATTAGCGAAATACTTATTTAAAGTATTTCGCTAATTCCTAATAATTCTCTAATTTAAAATGAACCGAATAGAGCATTAATTATAAATTGAATTACATTTTTCGATTTTAAAAGAAGCCAAAAAATCATGTCATATTTAAGAAAGTAGTTTAGGAAGAAGCTCTATAATAGAAAAAAGAAATAATGCATAATTTTAATATTAATAATACAATAAACTTTGATCTTAATTTTTGTACCTTAACCGAATAAAATCGAATTACCTTAATTTTTTTTTCTAATGTAATTAACGAAAACTTGTGAAAATATTTCATTCAAATTAAACCATTCTGAGAAAACTGTCCTGTGAAAAGTACAGCATTTAATTCCGTTCAGAATGAAATGTTGTTTAAAAATATGTTGTTTTCACACATACTTAGGACTCTGAAGTGTTTGTAGAAAAAGAAAATATATACATTTATACGTATATTTGCTACGTAATTACAAAATATTTACACCCGAACGCTTCAAATCCCATAGAACTCAATGGTAAATGACCCAATGTTTTGGTCACCACGTAGGGATCGCCGGTGCTTCAGAGCAGGGTACGGAGAAACTTGTTTAGGGCGACTCCATCTTACTTCCTACCTCCATGAGTCGAGGTTTTGGAAATTCCAAGAGTTGCTATGACAAATAGGTGGTCAGAATTTAATTCATGGACTACGTCTAATGCAATTGGGTTGGTAGTAGTTGAAAGAGCAATATCAAGAATGTCCGATCTATCAGTCGATCCAGTCTGTACGTATACTCGCTAGGAGCATGCGAGACCACAAGGTGGCTTATGACATAATTGCACAAAACGTTTCCATTAGCATTACCCATTCTGCAGCTTCATGCTACATTCTTTGAGTTAAAGGTCCCCATCTGTAATTTTCATGTACTCAGGTAAGACAGAGTCAAGAAAAGCTTAACTAATTCTCTATTGAGGTGGGCTGAACACAGCACAAAAGTTAATGTCACCAAACACCGGAAGCGTAATTTTCACAGTAACAATTTCACAGTTATTACCCGTCCTTGAATTAATAAGACAAGAAGTGTAACTTCGTTTGACAAAAATCATAACTCCACCTATGGGTAGTACGGTCGCAATTATATGAGGCATAATTTGGAATGTTTACACGGGTGGAATTGTTTTGCGTGAGTCTCTGTAATCATGCTTACATCAATATCATGATCTATGCACACATTCCGCAGCTCTTCACATCGCTGAAATCTGAATTGTGAATTCATCGACAAGCCAAACATACATAGATGTTCTTTGGCCAAGCGACGAAGGTTACATGCTGAAAATATGCTTATTGCGCATGCGTGAAGTATAGCTAGACGCTACTAATTTAGTATGCTCATCGCGGAGAGGGAAATTCTCTCCCGTTAGGTTCCGTTGCCAAATCCCTGCTTTCTAGCGGGGTAATAACAGCATTACATCTAGGTACATAGATGTTTTTTCGTGTAAGTTTCCATTTATTCAACGAAAGAATATTCAACAGAGCTAGTAACGTAGCGCAATAAACCAGCCATAATTCATTACTGGTACTCGAAGCCCATCTCATTGTTTACCTATATTGAGTTAACCTGTTCTTTGGACAGGAAATTGTATTTGTGAAATATCCGAAATTAATTTTTAATGAAGATTTCCTGGCAATCAAGGCATGCTTATATTACACTTCAGTTAACTCTCATATATAATATGTATTGATATTTATGTAGAGATAATTATGTGAATTTTCGCAAAATGCCAAAAACTAGAGTGAAGCATCCAAGAGCTACTTCCTGTGAAATTCCTGCGTAATAATTAATTTTACATTATTGTGTGGTATGTAGTAAGTTAATATGATATCAAAGCTGGCTGCTTATATGTCTTTGTATAGGACAGAAATTATGTACTTTAGGAGGTATGTAACTAATCATTTGAAAAAAGTAATATTTTAAAAGAACACATGGATACCTTTGCAGGAGAGAAACTTTGTGTGTGTGGGATACGTAAGCAATCATTAAGACTTAAGGGTAATTTAAAGAAGCATCAGCGTATTGATACAGACGAGAAACCTTATGTTTGTGGAATATGTGAAAAGTCATGTACTCAAAAGGGTAGTTTATACCATCATATGCTTATTCATACTGGAGAGAGATTTCATGAGTGCAAAATATGCAAGAAGTCATTTACTCAAAAGGGTAATTTAAATAACCATATGCTTACTCACACAGAAGAGAAACCTCATATATGTGAAGTATGTAAAATGTCATTTAGTCTAAAGTGTAATTTAACTAAGCATGTGCTTCTTCACACAGGAAAGAAACCTCATGTCTGTGAAGTATGTAAGAAGTCATTCAGACAAAAGGGTCATTTAAATGGGCATCTGCTTATTCACACAGGAGAGAGACCTCATGTGTGTGATGTATGTAATAAATCGTTTGCATTAAACAGTGCTTTAAACAAGCATATGGTTATTCACACAGGCGAGAAACCTCATGTGTGTGAGGTATGTAATAAATCATTTAGGCGGAAGCATCATTTAGAACGCCATATGATTATCCACACAGCAGACAAAACTCGTGTGTGAATTATGTGAAAAATCATTTAGTCGTAAGTATAGTTTAAAAATGCATATGTAGGGGTAAAACCTCATGTTTGTGAAGTATGTAAGAGTGATATTGCCAAAAGGGGGATTTAAATATGTTTAAATGTAAGGTAAAACATCAGGTTACTCTGCCGTGTTCACTCGGGAGGGAAATCTGATGTGTGCATGTTATGTAAAATGTCATTTAGTCGAAAGGATAGTTTAAACAGGCATATGCATATTCACACGACAGAGAAACCATAAAGCATAACATGGAATAAGTCATTTAATCTAAAAGGTGATTGAAATATATAAATACGCATAGGAGACAAATATTGTGAGTTGTGCAGGTAACAAGTCATTTAGAATAATTTGGAGAAATGTGTGTGTGTGTCTACGCAAAGGAAAATTCCTGTCTTTTAAGGAGATCTTACATTAGAAACAATCTTAATTTCCAATGCAGTAAGGACTTGTCCATGTAGCCAAGAAGCTCCATAATGTGGTCTGAAGGTCTAAGTGAGTTGTACTGGATGGCAGAATGTAGAGCAACCAAATTAGAGAGGCGGCTATGTGTCAGAATTAGGGATTTTCAGAGATTATGCCAGTTGGCATAAAGCCTTATGGTGATCCTATGTGAGGAATAAAAAATGACATTTGATTAAATAAGTAGTAATTCAACTTCTTAAATCTTTTTACAAGATAAAGAACATTATTTATGGAAGATGAATTTCTATCCATTTTAAAGTTACACACTTATAAGAACGTTTGTGTGTTCATCCAGCCTTTTTATTAAAGGAAGATCTTAAATACCACTCATTTAGGCTGACTGTAAAAGTTTAGATTGTTTCTTTTATTTAGAATTGGAATGTATGGGTTTGTATTTCCACCAGCTCTTGTCAAATTTGAATCTGTTACACTCTCGCATTTTTCACAGCATTTTGTAAACAGTACAGAGATGTGAAGCATTTTGTTTTATGAGATACTCCTTACCACTGGAAGTTTAATTTTTTTTAAAGAAAAAAAAAAAAATTAAAGAATGGTTTAAAGTAGCATATGTTATGGCTTGGTGGAAAGGTTTTAAGCAATTGTATTCAAACTTTATAGCAGTGCAACTGCATAAAAATGCAGACAACCCCAAGAAACATTTCCGAAATCAAAGTGAACCCTTATTTCTATACCATCCTTTCAGATCTTCTAAGATTTGTATCGGTTTTGTGATTATACTATAAATTGTCATGACTTTTCATTTAAATACTACTGGTTTAGATTGTTTCTTTTGTTCAGAATCAGGCCACATAGGCTTTGTGTTTCTTCCAACCCTGCCCAAATTTGAATATTTGTGTTACATTTCGTACAGCATTTTTTAAACAGCTCAAAGAAAAGAAGTATATTATTGTTTGAGATTCTTTGTAGTCCTGGAGGTTGAAATTGTTTTTAAAAAAAAGAAGAAAAATTTACAAAGATTTAAACTAGCATGTGTCTAGGATGACTGAGAAGGTTTAGAGTGTTTCTTTTATTTAGAATCAGATTGTATGTTTTTTGTATTTCTTGCAATCTTCTGTAAATGTGAGCCCTTTGCATTTTGTAAACTGTACAAAGATGTCAAATATATTGCTTTATGATATCATGTTTAGCATTGCAAGTTGAAATTTTCTTCGTTGGAAGTGAATCTCCCACATAATTTTATCTTAAATCTTGAGAATGCCCAGAAATGAGATATCACTTAGCCAAGGTTATGCACGCAGTATTATAAATTTAAAAGATCAGTTTCAAACTGTGCTTTTAGTGCTGCATAGGATTCTCACAACTAACATTGTTGTATTTTATTTGAGATTTTGTTATTCGGAATGTACCCAGAAATCTGTGTATGTGCACATATGTACATGTGTGTATGTGTGTGCATATGTGCAGAAAAACACTGCGCAAAAAAAAAAAAAAAATTTGAGAACAATTCGATATCTCCCTTTCTACTATGCCGATTGCCGAAATTCAACTTGCTATTTTCATGTCTCAAAAGCGCGACTTAGGATATGCACAGTCAAAAGTTGTTAATTCGGACACCCATAATCTGGACCCTCAAAGCTTCAAACTTTCTGCGCATGCGTCGCCATAAGGCCTTTACAGCTGAGAATATGCTCGTGCGCGTGCGCAAAATACGTTTATGAGTGCGCTTTTAAAGTATAACGGACGGTCAAAGCTAAGCTAAAATTATTTAATTATCTATTTCAGTTAATGTTTCAGATTCGTGTTCCTTAGCTTCGATTGGATCGGCTTATTTTTTTTTTTGCAGATGTTAGGCATTTTTAAAAGTAAGCTGACTTTCAATTATGTCAAATACAATTCTGATTATCTATTATTTATAGGAAATGATCTACAAAGCAAAAGTATTGTTTTGAAGTCATAAACAAAAAGTGATTGATACAAATTGGATATAAAGGCATATCCTGTGTTTATCTAAACTTGGGTTGATTTAATTATGTAACTGGTGTTTTGTTGGCGAAATTTGGCGACCAATTTCTACGCAACCTCTATTTTTTCCCGCCGCCATTTTGTCTTCACGAAGTAAAGACATGTTTCTTTTCTTTATCTACTGAACACTTCTCCAACAATCTACTAGCGAATTACACTTATGCTAGAAATTTTATCAAACAAAATGCTTAATATTCACTGCAAAATTGGGAAAAAGTGCACAATACCATCTCCTTAGCTTTTTCAAAATACACATACACATAACCATGTACACGCCGACTTATTTTACTTAAAAAAAATCCCGAATTGCACAAAAAATGGCATTGGCACAACTCTTCACTATATCCCATGTAACTGCTTTTTTCTCATAAATTAAAAAATTTCACGAAAATACATGACAATTTTCTCAATCTTAAACCCGGTAAAAAACTATATGAAATTACCTATCACAAAAGTATTTACCCTTTCAAATATACCATTTCACATATAAAATAAATAAAGATCAAAAACTTTTACTCTAAATCATCTATTTATATAAACGTCACCAACGATTCATACGAACATACCATACTTAGTGTCAGATATTTAAATTATTTCCATGCACGTTTACTTCAACTAAAACGTATACCAAATTCCTACAAACATAAAATTCACAAAATAACTAATAATTCAAAAAAACCTACTTAAAATATACATGAGCACATACATTAAATTAATACATATAATACTCATTTCGAATTCACTTTGTTATGGCAAATGGGATCCAAAAATTACGAACACTGTTTCACACGCACAGAATAAGCCAAACAAAAATTCCAGATTTTTTCCGATTTCCCCCTTTTTGATTAAAGGAACTGTAATTCGTAGTAATATCACAGACATATCCCATGATCTCTCATTTCCCTCACACAAAAATGTATATCGGAACTGAGTACTGCTCACATTATTACCAAAGTCCCAGGTTACCTTTATCGCCTCCAAAATGTCGCCAAACTACCAGTTACCATATTGTAAAGATCAACCAAACTTTGTTTATCTTTAACGCTGCGCAATGAATTGGAAGTTGATCTGTCAGCACTATCCTTATCTTCAGGGCAGATGTTTTTATTTTATTTGGCTTATAATTCCTTATTAAATGTGGTATTTCATCTCGATGTACCCCATCTTTGATATGATTTAAATCAAATTCCTCGTCATTATAATTCGCTTCCGATAGCGAAGAAAGTGACAGAGGTTATTGAAAACGAAAAAATTTCAATTGACAATTAGTCGGTATTCTCGACACAGCAATATAGGACTTGAACAGCGGAACTTTGTAACTGAACAAGAAATGTCTGTTTAAAGAATAAAGAGAATGTATTATCACATTAAAAAACGAAGCAACTTAAACAACTTACATGAAAGAAATGTTTAATAAAGAAAACAAATAAATATTAAGCTTTTTTTTTTTTTGTAAATTTTGATACCCTTTAGATCATAATTGTTCTTTATTTCATAAATTACGGTTTCATGTTTTTAATTTTATAATTTCTGCATGCCATCTTTCTAGATTTAAACTGATGATCTATAATCCGGAATCGCCGAAGTCCCGACGAGTCCGGATTAACGAATTTTGACTGTATTGCTTTTATATATAGCATTGTTTTAATATAGGTATTTTGACACAAAATCGGACTTTTGTGTCAAAATACCTATGTTAAAACAATGCTATATATAAATCCAATGCATATCGTAAGTCGTGCTTTTGAGACATGGAAAGCGCAATTGAGAACTGTTTCATTTTTTTTTTTTTTTTCTTGTGCACAGTGTACTTATACACATACATGCATACATGAACACATGCATATACATACAGTCCATATGTTAGTTTTTTAAAATTATAACCACAAATGTTTTCTTATAGTTTTAATCAGTTAGTGCTAATACTTGATTTTACCTTATATGAAAAGCTTCTTCTGGCTAATCTTTGGAATATGGTAACAGGTAGTTTGGCGACATTTTGGTAAGGCGATAAAGGTTACTAGCTAGGATTTTAGCAGTGTACATTGATAAAGTCAAAAGTGTGCGCAATGCCATTTTCGAGCAATTATGGGATGTTTTTTTAAGTGAAAATAGATCGACGTGTACATGGATACCGTGTATGTGCAATCCTTAAAAACGTGGCAAGCAGTTTGCGATTCTGCACTTTCTCCGAATTTTGCATCTAATCTTCGTCATGATTAAGCAGTTTTGTTCCATAAAAGTTCTAGCATAAGCGTAATTCGACTAGCAGATTGTTGGAAAAAAATGTTGAGTAAAAAAAAAAACGTGCCTTTACTTCGTGAAAACAAAACGGCGACCAAACAAAAACTAGCAGGTTGCTGTAGCAGGGCTGGTCGCCAAATTTGCGCAAAAAAATCGCCAAGGTACCATAATCCAAAGATGAACCAAATGTTCAGTAAAAGAAAAAAAAAAAAAAAACATGCCTTTACTTCGTGAAAACAAAATAGGGTTCAAACAAAAACTAGCAGGGTTGGTCGCCAAAAAATCGCCAA